TAGAGCCCTAAAAGATAATTTCATGGAGCGAACAATATTATTGCTACTGTAGCTCATAAAGTATATAGCAGATATTCTATCTGTCCAAATATAACCCTGGACAATCATTCTATTGGTCCCAAGGACATTTCCTACTTCCTTTAGGTCCAGTTGAGGTATGGTAATTGGATTTTACCCAAATGCCACCATCTGAAGAATACAAAAAGTTATTAGTTATGATTTTGTATGGGTTGAGGCATTCCCTTGCAGGAGAGCAACACCTTCAATGGTAGGTAAATTATTTTTATTTATTATTTTTAAAAATATTTTATTTATTTATTTTTAGAGAGAGGGGAATGGAAGGAGAAAGAGAGGGAGAGAAACATCAATGTGTGGTTGCATCTCACGCACCTTCATCTGGGGCCCTGGCCTGCAACCTAGGCACGTGCCCTGACTAGGAATCGAACCAGAGACCCTTAGCCTTATAGGCCAGCACTCAATCCACTGAGCCACACAAGCCACAACAGTAAAAGTTTTTAAAATGATTTTTTCATTTATTTTTAGACAAAAGAGAAGGGAGGGAGAAAGAGAAGGAGAGAAACATCAATGTGTGATTGCCTCTCACATGTCCTCTACTGGGGGCCTGGCCTGAAACCCAGGCATGTGCCCTGACTGGGAATCAAACCAGCAACCCTTTGGTTTCCAGGCAAGTGCTCAATCCACTGAGCCACACCAGCTAGGACAGTACATAGTTTTTAAAAAAATTAATTCCCAATTGAGGAGTTCCTTCTGAATTGGTGACTGAGGGGCTCCTTTACTAGACAAATAATACAATCTATTTGCAATATTTGTCCTATTCTACAGTATTTTCATTGTGCCTATCACCCCTGGTTGTCTGGATTGGTAGAACATACAAATGGTACAATTAAAACTCAACTGGGTAAATTTTCAGAAGCTTTTAATCTCCTTTGACCAGAAGCTCTCCTTATGGTACTCCTCAACCTGAAATCTATGGTAAACATAGCCTTTCTCTTCATGAGATCATCACCAGCCACCCTATGAATCTAGATAAAGGGACATAAGAATCAACTTAGCTAAAAGGAGGCATTTTGTATTATTATCAAGGACTCATTAACCAGCTTATATGGACTAATAAATTACTCATATTTCACACTGTGCTTCCAGGAGTCAAAAACTTCAAAGACCATGACTTATAGCCAGGAGATTTTTTTCCATTGGAAAAGACATGAAAGACTCTCCAACATTGTTGGAAGGCATTTTATCAGGGGCTTAGCTGGCCCTGTTTTTGACACAAAAGGCCTACAAATTAATGTTAAACTATGTTTATTTTTACCTGCCTGCTAATCTTAATAATTATACTTGTTCTAGCCCTGGCTGGTGTGGTTCAGTGGATTGAGTGCCAGCCTGTGAACCGAAAGGTGACCAGTTTGATTCCCAGTCATGGTACTTGCCTGGGTTGTGGGTCAGGTCCCCAGATGGGGGAGTGTGAGAGGCAATGAATCAATGTATGTCCCCCTCTTTCCCCTCCCTTCCACTCCCTCCAAAAACAAATAAATAAAATCTTAAAAAATAATTATACTTGTTCTTTAGACTTTTCCCAAACCTTTTACATACAGCCCAACTGTTAATTACTGAAGGTATATAAGATAATTTTTGTATTATCAATAATACTGTTTTTATGGCTCCTGTTTTGAAATTTAGAAAAAATGCTATTGCAAAAGGAAGAAAAGAGATGTATATATTTTAGGAGAAGTTAAAAGGAGATAGTTTGTCCTGAAAGTGCTTATACCCTAACCTAACAAAGACTACTAACTATATTATTTGAGATAGAAGCTGAAGTGACTATAAAAACATGGCCGTCTATAACTGCTACTGAGCCACACAGAAACATTTATTTACAAAACTCTTTTGTTCTCCTGGCCTCTGGAATTTTTTAGATGGTAATTGTAAACTGAAGCATTGTGTTTTTACAGCTGTGGTCCTGATTAAAACTTTAGGTTACATCTTCTGATTGTACAACTATTGGAAATCAAATTAATAACAGCATCTGAGTGCTTCCAATGGGAAGTAAATGGGCCATAGTAAATAGAATCCTATCTCATGGTCAAATTATGAAAACTGAAAAGATGTATGGTGTGCACTCAAACTATACAAGATGTAAAATATAGAAAAGTGAGAAAAGCATCAAAGCCAGGATTGTGATAGCTCCTAGGCTAGAAATGATTCAGAACAAACAAGTGCTGGTGAGGATGTGGAGAAAAGGGAACACTTTTGCACTGTTGGCGGGAATGCAAACTGGTGCAGCCACTATGGAAAGCAGTATGGGGATACCTCAAAAAGTTAAAAATGGATCTGCCTTTTGACCCAGTGATCCCACTTCTGGGAATATATCTGAAGGAACTCAAAATACTAATTCGAAAGAATATAAGCACTCCTGTGTTCATTGCAGTTATTCAAGATCACCAAGATATGGAAGCAGCCCAAGTGTCTATCAGTAGATGAGTGTATAAAACAACTATTGGACATCTATACAATGGAATACTGCCTGGCTATTAAAAAAAACAAAAACAAAAACAAAAAAAAACACACATTTTTACCCTTTGCAACAGTATGGATGGACCTGGAGAACATTATGCTAATAAGCTAGTCAGAGAAAGACAAATACCATATGATTTCACTCATATGTGGAATCTAATGAACAAACTGAACTAACAAGGAAAATGAGGACAGACTCATAGATGGAAAACAGGATGACAGCTAGGGTAGAGGAGGTTAGTGGGTGGAGGGATTGAACAAAAAGAAAAAGGACTCATGGACATGGACAACAGTGTGGTGATTGCTGGGGGGAATGGCATATAAGGGGACTAAAAGGTAACGTAAAAGGTACAATAAAGATTAAATTAAAAAAGAAATGATCCAGAATGTTTTTCTTAATAAAGCCCATAAGACCTGACTACCTGCCATTTACCTATCTTTCACTTTGGAGAAAAAATTCAGCCTAGAATTCCAGCCAAGGTTAAAATCTTGCCCCACCCCCAATGGTCCATCATTCAGCAAAACAAATGCTGACTCTGAGGCTTCCTAGCACAGTGGGACCTCACTATCCAACCAAGAAGTTGGTCATCAATGCATCCTTCGGATTGATTTATGACCAAAAGGGGGAAGTGTGGATGAAAAAGAGGCCACATACTAAACCTGACAAATTCAGGGGAGGCCTGCATGACCTCTTACGAACTCAGAGACCTAAAGTAACCATAAAGGATGGTCTGAAATTAAAACTTATTAACTAAATGCAGGTCATGGTGGGCAGTCATTGTCCTAGGCGCAAATCTCCTGGGACAAAAAGTCAATCTTTACTTTAATTGAACCTGTCTGTAATCTCTTTTCATCTAGGATAACATATCTTTGGAATGTCAGGTAACTTCCTTTTCTTTCTTTTTTAAAATGATTTTATTTATTTTTAGAGAGAGGAAGGGAAGGAGAAAGAGAGGGAGAGAAACATCAATGTGTGGTTGTGTCTTGTTTGCCCCCCACTGGGACCTGCCTGAAACCCAGGCATGTGCCCTGACAGGGAATTGAACCTGTGGCCTTTTAGTCCACTGGCCAGCACTCAATCCATTCAATCGCACCAACCAAGGCAACTTAACTTCCCTTTTCTTCCAAACCCCTGAGGTACAAGCACCCCTGAGGCACAAGCATCATGCCAGAGTGGGAGACCACAAATCTCCTCACTGTTATTGTTATCATATTTATTGTTGACTGTTAACTATCCTCTACCCACCTGTGTAAAAACACTTGTCTATCATTTTACCTTTTTATCCAGTTCCAAAGGTTTCCCTGCTTTGCTTTCTCCTACCTCCCTCATATATCAGCAATGGATTTCACATAACCCCCTTCCTCTTTTGATTGTACTGTATAAAATAAGGTGGAAAATTGCCATTTTGTGAAGCATTTTCTCAATGCATTGAGGTTTTGCTTCCCAGAAACTCTTGTCAATTTGACTCAAATAAACTCACCAAAATTCTCAAAATAAAAAAAGAATAAATATCCTGATCTTAGTTTCTTTGCTTCCTATGATTTCTTTCCAGTGAAACCCAATCAAAAGTCAGAGCATAAGGTAGCCTGTTAATGTATTCACACAGATAAGGCTCACAGAACAAGGAGCAAGGTAGGGAAACAGGAAAATGGATCTAGACAGCCAAATAGAAGTTATCTTGCACAGGGCCATTTGAGGACTTTGAACTTTATTCTGAAGACAAGAGAGAGACATTGAAATGTTTTAGATAGGAGAATAAGATGATTATCCCTAAAATGACATGCAGCTTTATTAGAGAAGAGACAAGAGGAGAAGATTAGTTAGGAATGTAATGTAATAGGTCACTTGTGAGGTGGTGGGGTTCCAGGCTATGGTAACAGCAGCATAAATGAAACAGAAGAGACAAAAGAGGTATTACAAAGAAAGAATTTTCTGGATTTATGGATCAATTCATTAGGGGACATGAAAATGAAGGAGGAGTAGATGATAATGATAAGGTTTTAAGCCCTGTTTAATTAAGCGTCTTGAGCTGGGCCCTAGAGAATTCACCATTTCCCAAGATTTCACCCATCCTTTTGTGTGGAAGATGTAAATGTTCACCTTCATTCATGCTTTTGTCCTTTAAAGCCAATCCTCTCATCTACTGCTTGCTTGACATTTAACTTGATTGCCATATTGTCACCTCAGACTTAGAATATCTATAAGCAACTCACAATCTTATCAATCCACCCATTCCTGAATCACATATTTCCATCAATAGAGCATCTTTTCATTTCTATTATCTATGAGATCCTTGGTACTATCATTTTTGTCCATATATCCATAATCACTTGTAGTATGCGTATGTGGAAAACTGTTTTGGAATTAAGTTTGTAGATACTATGAGTGTTTATCCCATATATGAAATCTATCAAAAGCTCTTTAAAAGATTCATGCATTCTCTAAGAAAGGACTAATTACATACCATTAAGGTCCCAGTGGAATTCCCACGATAACTCTGCCATGTAGTCCCATCAAGACTATACATGATGATAAACTGAGAGATGTAGAGGCTGGAGAACTTCTGTCGGGCACCCTGGGTCATGATGCTGTGAATAATCATTGGTGCCAACAAATCCACCTGCCAATTAAAACAACAATTTATTTTAAGTGTATATCCCACCTTCTGAAATTAATCATTGGCTTAAGAAGAATCTGTATTGACACAGATCTGCTCAGTATTACCTTGGGTATGCAGTTGAAGCAGATACCAATGTTGAAATGAGGGTGTGTGTGAAGCCGTGGGGTATATGACAGGAAGGAGTAAGGAAGGTGCTTATTGTGTTCCCAGCCTACTTCCTATAAAATCAGAACACTTTGAAATAATTCAGTCCCCATTTCCTCTACTTACATCCTTTGTGCTGCACATATGAACTCACATAACCTAGTGCTTTGTTTGTACCTCAGCCTAGTCAAAGCCAATTTTCTCTCTTCTGTCCACACCAGCTTCCATCCTAACATTTCTATCAGTGATAAACTGCTACCTCTCCTTCAAATGTTAGTTCAGAAACCATTTCTCCTTGTTAGCCTTTCCTGACTTACCGAGACAAATTTAGTTCTGCTGCTCTACTCGTATTTTTCCACTTCATTTTGTATAATAACTTCATTACATCAAATTATTGCACCATATTATAAAAGTTTCCTTGCTTATCTGCCTTCCTTGTTAGACTGAGATCCTGAAGGCATTGAACCTGTTTGAGTCGCCTAACCTCTTTGTGTCTCAACTTCTTTATCTGTAAAGTGGAGATAATAATGATGTTTATCTCAAAGGGTTACCAGAAGGATTAAAGAGTTAATAAATGTAATATACTGAGTTCAGTGCCTGATACATACTAAGCAATAAACGTTAGCTTTTATATTCTCTCTAGTACCATCACCTAACATAGCACTTGTTATAATACTGATGCTTACTTAGCAAATATTTGAAATTAATGAGAAATGGCAGAGTAGTAGGGAATGATTGTTTTTTGTTTTAAGATTTTATTTATTTATTTTTTAGAGAAAGGGGAAGGGAGGGGAGAGAGAGGGAGAGAAATATCAATGTGTGGTTGCCCGTCATGCGCCCCCAAGTGGGGACTGGCCCGCAACCCATGCATGTGCCCTGACTGGGAATCGAACCAGCAACCCTTTGGTTTGTAGGCCAGTGCTCAATCCACTGAGCTACACCAGCCAGGGTGGAATGATTGGTTTTTAAAGAAGAGGGCATGGACCATGCAGGCATTAAAAGGGGGTATCTACTACAGGAATTTTGGCTCCAGTTACTGCCTTAACAAGCAAGTGAAACTTCTTACAGATGCCTGGCACACTCAAATTGGATTGTACATGACTGTGTTGCTTAATGACTGTGTACTTCAGTTGATTGTAAGTTCCATCCATCCATCCATCCATCCAAAGAATATATTTTTTGTACTTGTTATTTGTCAAGTACTGTTCTAGGTACTGGGAATATAGCAATGAACAAGAAAAAAGTTCTATCTTCATGGAACTTACATTTGAATTAGAGAAAAAGACTATCATATATATGTTTTTAAAAAAGATTTTATTTATTTTATTTATTTTTAGACAGAGGAGAAGGGAGGGAAAAAGAGAGAGAGAAAAACATCAATGTATGGTTGCTTTTCACATGGTCCCTACTGGGGACCTGGCCCACAACTCAGGCATGTGTCTTGACTGGGAATTGAACCAGTGATCCTTTGGTTCACAGGCTGGTGCTCAATCCATTGAGCCACACCAGCCAGGGCCATATATATGTTTTTATTTACAGCACTGTGTAGTGATAAGTGCCAGAGAAAAATGAGGCAGGGTAGCAAGACAGAGAGTAGCAAATCTTCAGAAGTTATAGTGCTGTTTTTTTCCAAATTAGGTAGTATTTCCAACTGAAGACACTTCATTTTTCCTCTTGGTCTTGTGGCATAAACAACTGAAAATGCCAGGGACAAAAATCATGGCTTTTGTTGAATTGGCTTTACTTTTTCTTCATGTAGCATATGAGAGGTCTTTTTTGGACCACTGACTATTGTACCTTCTAGTAGTTTCAATAAAGACTTGTCAGCCCTAGCTGGTCTGGCTCAGTGGATTGAGTGCCAGCCTGCCAATCAAAAAAGGTCATTGGTTTGATCCTAGTCAGGGTACATGCCTAGGTTGTGGACCAGGTCCCCAGTTGTGGACGTGTAAGAGGTAACTGATCAATGTACCTCTTGCATGTTTCTCTCCCTCTCTTTCTCACTCCCTTCTCTTCTCTCTAAAAGTAAATAAATAAAATCTTTAAAGAAATACGTGTTGAATAAAGCCTCGCCAGTCCCCTTTTCCACTTATATTCTGTAACTGATGAATTCTTGGCCAATTGCCAATCTTATCTACTTCATCTTCTTGTTGTGCCTCTTCTGCATTATAATCAGAATGTTGGAGCAATTTGGCAATTACAGATTCAATATTTTTACCTATGTATCCAGCCAAGTATTTGAATATGACAGTAAGAGACATCTCTATGAAGAAGTAAGCAAGGTGGTAATGAGTCACATAGCATACAAATACAAATATTTCAGTGGGATATCTCCATGGAGCTTGCCAACTGCCTGCTGCTGATTGCCTGGTCTTGGTCACCTGACACCCCTCAAGCCAGTCCAGTGTTCTTATGCCTGGTGGCCTGGCTTTTGTGCACCTGCCAGGCTTTCTCACTAGTATAGATGTCTACCCCAACTCCTCTTCCTGTCAGCACCCTCTTCAACACCAACTTCTTATCTGCTGGCTCTCTGGTACCATTTTTTTCTTTCTTATTTATTTATTTATTTTTTTGCTTTAAATTTTTTTATTTTTCAGTTACAGTTGACATTCAATATTATTTTATATTAGTTTCAGGTGTAAAGCATAATGGTTAGACATTTATATAATTTATTAAGTAGTCCCCTTGATAATTCTAGTACCCACCTGGCACCACACATACTAATTATATTTCTTCTTTTTTTAAGATTTCATTTTTTCTCTCCCTCAAACAGAGGGAGAGAAACATGGATGTGTGAAAGATTCAGATTGGTTGCCTCTCACATGCTCTCAGCTAGGGACTTGGCCCACAACCCAAGCATGTACCCTGACCGTGAATTGAACACGTGACTTTTCAGTTCACAGGCCAGCGCTCATGCCAGGGCTAGTTATTACATTTCTTTATTCTATAAAGTTACCAGATCAAGGAAATATGTATGTGAACTTCAGTAGGACAGGTGGCAAAAAACACCTTAAGGATCAGGTGATTTAATACAGGTTGGATGATAATGCAATAAAGTAAATTTATAACTGGTTCAATTTCCATAAGCAAACAGTGGTAGTTAATAGATGGTTATCAACCTAAATGGAGCATTCTGGAAATGGGATAGTACAATTATTATGAATTAAGTCTCTGGCTTCTCTGTGGCTGTGAAGCTGGGGAGATGCCAGCCGGGCCAAGCACATTGGATCTTGTCCTCCCAGCCCTTCAACCCTCAATAAAATGGTTTGCACCCCCCAAAAAATATATAAGGCTCTGGAGCCCAACTATCAGGGTTTGAATTTGACTCAGCCACTTGTTGGCTGTGTGACTTGGGGCAAGTTATTTAACTTTTTTGCTTCAACTTCCTTATCTGAAATGAGGATGATAATAAAATCTACCTCATAAGGTTGTGGTGAGGATTTAATAGCTTGCTTTGTTTTAAGAACATAGTAAGGAAGCCCTGGCCACTTCAATATTTTGATCATGACTGCTAAAATATAAAAGAGTTTAGTGATCAAGTCAATAAATTATTTGAAACGGGGAAGATTAGGAAGTACTTTGGGAAACAGAATCTTGAAAAGCTGGAACAATGGATCAAATCTAGTAAGCAGAATCTTAACAGAGTGTATCACTCAGGGTTCTTTGATGTGGAAAAGACAATTTACTAGTCTCATCAGATTATATTCAGTGAGGGAAATATAATTCCCCAAATGGAAATGAGGATGCTGTTACAAAAAATAAATTCATAGAATAGATGCAGGGCAGCCAAATAGATTGAAATGTCCACTACACAGGGGTGTATGCAAGGCTGAATGAGTGATAAACACAGAAATACAAGGTGAGAACATGTGTTTTGGCAGCCTCATGAACAAACAAAACTTCTTGTTTGTTAGGATTAGTGAACAGTTTTCTCAAATTGAATCATAATTAGCAGTGCCTACAAAGCAAACAAAAAAGAATGAGCTGATGTGCCTCTCCGGAAGTTGATGTGGCATTAAAAGATGTGTTCTTTGTGTCTGCTTAGTGGTAAGCCAGTTTATTTTTCCTGATTCCTATTTATTATTTTGACCTCAGGAGAAATAGAAGAGCAGGTGCCATCTCACAAAGGAAAAAAAATATGTAGGGGAATGTCCTCAGGCAACTAAGAAAAGAAGAAAGTTGCTACATTATGAGAAGTGGATAGAGCTATGGGAAGTAGGTGGTAAAATGTGTGTACATTATTCCTTCTCCAGGCTGTAAGTAGCAGAGGTGGGAGTCATGTTAGACAGATTGAGAGAAAAGCTGTAAGCAGAAAAGTTTATTCCTTTCCCTGTTTGGGCTCTAGAAGGAATCTACCCTCGTGGTTAGGCAGAGAGGTTGAGTTGGTGATTCCAAGCTGTCCTCAGCTCTCATGTGGCATGGAAGGGATCCAGAAATTCCCATATGTATGCCCTTGAAGAGACCACTTCCTGACTGATCACGTGTTGACATGATAATATTTTTGCATATGTTATATTAAATAAAACATATTATTAAAATGATTTCACATGTTTCTTTTATAATGTGTCTACTGGTAAATGTAAAATTACACATGTGGTTTGCATTTATTTCTATTGCACAGTGCTGCTCTAGAAGAAATGTTAGTTTACAAGATTGGACTAACTTTGGTAAGTGTCTTCTATTACTCGGTGGTATAGAATTTGTGAAGAAGATGAATTCAGTTCTCTAAAATAATGAAGAGATAGGAGGACCATAGGACACCTAGGCAGTTGGAGACATTGAATAATCAAATGCATGATCTTGGGAGGTGGTGAGTTCAGTGTTGTAGAAGTATTCAGATGTTCTAATCCCGGTAAAAGATTAAAAGCACATAAATAAAACACATCAACATGATCAATTCTATTCTTGAGCTCTTCCTCATTTGTTACCTGGAGTTTGATTAAAATATATAAACGAGATATAGAGTGCTATGAGCTTGCAAGAGGAATATGTGATGTATTTTCTGACCTTGATCCAGGAAAACGGATCCTTGGTGCTCCAGGCATTGATTGATCCAGAATAATGAAGTCTGGCCAGCTTTGGAGCCCACTGTCCTTTGCCCAAGAAAGAGGAGAGATTAGATTCAGTTGGGTAGGTTCTAGACAGGAATAAAATTAGTCTCTTGAGAAAGGTTAATCCTAGCTGTGAAGAAGATAAAGGCATAAAGCACAGTAGTATCAATTACTAACTACCTAAGTGTTTTGCTTGTCTTTGTCCTTTTTATTTTCTAAAATTTAATAATTTTATTGATCATTAGCATCTCTAATTAGCTGATACTGGAATGTGTTACCAGCACTACCAAATATTGTATCTTTACTACACAATGTACCTTCATTGTGGAAAAATTAGAAAATAAAAATAAAATATAAGTAAATATAAAAATAGAAAAAATATCCTTACACTCAGAGAAAAATAATGCTATTTTGGTGTATAACACTCAAGCCTCTTTTGCAAAGGAGTTTTTTTCCCTGTAAAACAGGGGTTGGCAAAATTTTTCCTATAAAGGGGTTAACTTTACAGATCATCTGGTGTCTGGTCTCTGTTATAATTTCGTAACTGCTAGTGTACAGTGAGAGCAGTCATATGATTGTAAATGAATGGGTGTGGTTGGATGCCAATATAAGACTTTATTTATAGATACTGACATTTGAATTTTATATAATTTCCACGTCATAAGGTATTAGTTTTCTTTTGTATTTTCCCAATCATTTAAAAATAGAAAAATTGTTCTTATCTTGAAGGCCATGCAAAAACCAGTGATTGGCTAGATTTGGCCTGCAGGCTGCAGTTTGCTGATCCCTGCTCTAAAACAGTGTCTGAGAACTCTCTATAGATCCTATTGAAGTTTAACTATCACTATTCATAGAAAAGAGTAGCTTCCTGTTATAGTGAAGAGAATGGACTCAAAGGGTACAACACTGAAGGCAGGCAGGACATTTAAGGATGCAGTGGTTTTACCCAGGTAAGAAGTGATAGTGGCATAAATTAGGACAGCTCACAGTGGGAAATGAAAAGAAAACAGATTTGAGAAGCACCTATAGAGTAAAATTAATAGATGGAGATGGATTGGTTATTAAATTTCTCTAACAAAAGTAAGAAAGGTATTATTAGTCCAGTTCTTAGAGAGAAAATAATAATATTTACCATATTGTCCTGAAGCTGTAATCTGAAAATCTCTAATGCGTCCAGAAGCCATTCCCAGTGGAGCCTGACACTCTGTAATCAAATGAGGGAAACACAATAGCTAGAAGTGCAGAAAACTGAGCTTCACAAGTGCAAGTCAATGAAAATGGAAGACTACCTACAAATGCTCATATTTTTTTAGTGTTTACTATGTGCCAAAAATTATATAAAATATTTTATTATATAATCTCATTTAAGTCATCCCAACAAGAAAGTGCTAGAACTATTCACACTTTTTAGCTGAGGATACTAGGGTCTGTACATAAGTAGACCAGTGGTTCTCTTACTTGTTTAGGGTTAAATCTCAAGCTCTTCCAAGCAATATTTGTAAGTTATCTTAAATAATTGAACCAAAATTAAGTTCTAAAATTTGCTCTTGGAGATCTTGGAGCTTCACAAAGTTGTGAAAAGGAAGAGATATTTTTTAGTACCCATTTGTTAAATAGAGGGTTGGGGCAAAAGTCAGTTTATAGTTGTTTGTATGGAAAATAATACAATAATCAATAAATAATAATGTAAGAATAAACTCTGTTTTATGTACTTACAACTATAAACCTACTTTTGCCCCACAGTGTATTTAGAGCATCAGGTTCAAAGTGTTCAAAGCTTCAAGCCCTCCTCTGAAGACTCTTATTATTTCTACCAGCAATATTCATTACAAATTTGATGACTTTGAACTTGTACTTATGTCTTGACAAAGGCAACCATTCTAGGAGGAAGAAAAGCTGTGTAGATGTAGGCTGGGTAGGCAGGGAGCTTCTGCCCACATTGCTACTCACGCTTGCTATACACCAGAAAAAGAGTGCTCATCCCAGCTTGTAGGTGTTCGCCAATAAGGCATTCTATTCTCCAAATTCCAACTTTGGATGGTAGCATTTCCACTGTCTCAAAAACACCTAACAAAAACAAAAGGAACAAAAAAATTTCTTTTCACTAAAGAAATGAGAACGAGACACTTAGCTTATGTAGAATATCGATGGAAATCTAAGTCATTTCCATCACTATTGGACCCTTGAAACCCAAAGTGCTTGCTGTCTGACCCACATAGTTGGAGACACTAGAGACAGTTCTGACAGCCCCCCACCCTGGGAAATAGGAGAGATGGCAATAGAATGCTTTGGTGATAGGGATAGGTGGAAGCTACTTCATTAGGCCTGTTCCCTTAGGGTTTTTCAGAGCCACAGGTTTATTTCTCATTGACCAGATTCAGGCTCCTTGGGAAAGAAAAATCAGAGAGGTCCTCCCAGATCTAGTTTACTAAGGCTGACTTGAGGGCTAAAGTAACCCTAGCAGCAGAAAGTTGGAAGTAAATGCTGAGGGTCTGAGAAATGAATGGCCAACCACTTGGAATAAAGGTGGAAACAGCCAGGTCAAAGGGATTTCATGAGAGAGGGTCCCAAAAGGGAGTCTCTGAAGAGCCCCTGAAAGTTGTCTGCAAGAAGATGAGACAGTACTTGAACAACAACAAAAATTAAAAATTAAAAAAAAGAAAAGAAAAAAATAAAAAGTAAAAAAAAAAATCTGCCAGGTGTGCAAAGCGTGAAGCTTGCTTACAACAATGGTGCTAGTTATAAGTAAATAGCATCTATCCTATCCTTTACCTTGACCCTTTGCATGCTGTAGGTCAAAGCAGCAGCCAGCAAGGAGTTGGGGGAAGCACAATAAGCACAGGTAAGAGAAACAGAGGACTCAACTGTGCCTCCCTTCTCCAATGCAGGCTTCTAGCTTTGTGCAGGCTCAAATTAGGTGAGGAGAGACTCAAGTTAAATCAAGTTCAGAAATTTTATAAATATCTTAGAGTGAACATTGTAATTTCTGATGAACTATATTTGTGATGTAAAGTGACCACAGGACTGCTTATTACTTAAGATAAGAGTGGGCAGAAAAGTCACTGGTATTAACAGAAGTTTTACACAGAAATAGGTCAAGTTTGTTCCCACTACTAAATTTGTTTTAAAGGGACAGTGGAGAACTAAAATGAAGTTGTGTTTTGATCAACATTGTAAGTAGTGCTTTAATCAATGTATTGGTAATAGTCATAAACAAATCACTCCTTGGATAATTACTGGTGCTCTGTGAGATTTGAGATGGAAAAAAAATCCCCTTTTTCCTAGGAAGTGCTATGACATTATTCATTTATTGTGTTCTATTTACTTTATAGCACATTATCTGTATCTGAAGTTTTCATGTTCATTTGCTAACTTATTTATTATTTCTCTGTAGGGTAAAGTTAGTTGAAAAAGTAAGTTGCCCAAGAACAGGACATTTGTCTGGTTTGTTCACTGATCATATCCTGGGTGCCCTAGACCATTTCAAGTAAATACTCAACAAGTAGAGTAGGTAGAAGAAAGAGCACAAAGTAGCTCATACCCGGATAGAGGTTGTAGACTGCCATTTTATACTCCTCTTTTTTCCGTACAGTGAATACATGTCCACTGAAATGAATAGAATGGATGTTTTCACTGCTGCCCATACTGAGCAGATACCATCGAATCCTTTGATCCTGAGCCATTACTAACCCAGGTAGAGTATCCATCACATAGCCATTGATTGCTGAAGAAGGAAAACATAGAAGGCTGTTAAAATCTGTTGTAGAAGTTTCTTTTCCTCCACTCCACTCAAAAATATTGATTTCTAGGAGGATTCCACTCCCATACACATACTCTCAATTCATGCAATGTCCAAGCCTCAGACTCGAGGCTCATTTGTCATAGTGCATGCTGCATTTCACAGTCAGTAATATTTGGGTGTGGGATATAGTACCATGGAAACGATAATTTTCTTTAAAAGTGGGGTCCTCCATCTGGATATTGCAGGGAGCCCTGCAGTTCCTTTCCATGTTTTCAGTGAAGTACCAGCTTTTGGTCTCATCAAAAATAGTGAAAAACAGAACAAATTCTTGCACTGTCACTTGTCTCCCATGAGCAGGGTTCAGCGTGTTAGTGCGGCAGATCAGAAGAGGTCCAATCAAGCCTGAGTGCATATCTTTTTCCTGAGAGGGAAGACATCAACCACATGAGTAGAAGCTCTCTCACCTATGAACCAGAGCAGATTTGCATCATCTTTTATGCTCCTCCAACCTACTCTTCAGTTTCTCATAGAATAATTCATCCTCCTCGGTATATTCCAGAATAGTATTTCTAAAATACAAATTTGATGCGACCTCCCCTATTCAAAGCTTCCCATTATGCTTAGGATAAATACCAAAATTCTTAGCAAATATTGCAAAAACTGTTTCTTCTAAACCAGAAAGTGGCCAGCACAATGCAGATCTGCTTACCAGATCAACATCAGAAAAATAAGCCCAAGCTTTGCAGTCAAACTCATTTTTAGTGGGTGCCATATGATGTTGCACTTTCCAAAAGTAACTTTGGGTTTCATTAGGCTTGACAAACTTTTTTCTAGGTTCTTCTCCTCGCCTCTGATCTTCCTCATAAGAAATAAGGCTAGAATAAAAGGAGTAGGGACGAGAGGCCTGGTTTTTGAAAGTTACCTGCAGAACAAAAAATATAAAAAAAAGAATGCAAGCATTTTAGTGTTTATATCCCTAATAGTAATATCTATTTTGTGCTTTATCCATATTTTAATATCCAGAGGAAGTGGTACATAGGATGGATGTTGTTAGAACCCAAACTTAAAGCTCTATAAAGGAAACTATGAAGAATTTTTGGATTAAAAAAATTTTAAGACATGCACTCAATGTTACAAAGGAGAAAATCCTAAATACTAAAATGCAATCCCAAAGTAAAAGAGAAAATATCACTTTAGGGGGTTTAAGAGACCATAATCTCAGGACTTGATATTAGGTTAAGGTTCTTCATGACAAACTCCAGAATGACCCCTGGCTGGTATGGCTCAGTGGATTGAGCACTAGAGAGACATCTCTCACACATCAATGTTTCTCCCCCTCTCTTTCTCCCTTCCTTCCCCTCTCTCTATAAGTAAATAAAATCTTTTTAAAAATTCCAAAATGAATGCATAAAATCTTTTAAAAGACTAGTTTTCAGATTTGAAAAAATGACATGTTTCATAGGCCATATGAAATGTAAAATAAAAATCAAAGCAGAAAAAATTCACTCACAATCCCATAATTTTAGATCCTTCTATATCCTTAATGTAAATCAACTGGGACAATGAATGACTATTTTTTGGGGAAAAATAAAACTACTTTGACCTTTGGCTCTTACAATGCACCAAAATAACTTCTAAGTCTACAGAAATTACTAACGGATTTAAAAGTTAAATGTTAAGAAATTAAACCATAAAAGAAAGTACAAGAATGTACAGGTGATTTTAAGAAATCAAATTTCTGTGTAGGGAAGGATTTTTATAAACATACAAGCTATGAAAGTGTCATAAAGGAAAGATTTATAGGTTACTTCCTAAAATATAAAAACCTATTTTAATTTAAAAACCATTACATATACCTGGCTGGTGTGGCTCAGTGGATTGAGCATCAGACTATGAAGAAAGGGGTCACTAGTTTGATTCCCAGTCAGGGCACATGCCTGGGTTGTGGGCCAGGTCCCCAGTAGGGGGCACGTGAGAGGCAACCACATATTGATGTTTCTCTCCCCCCCTCCCTTCCCCTCCCTCTAAAAATAAATAAATAAATCCTTTAAAAAACCCCACTACATATAAAGTTAAGAGAAACAAACATGGAAAATTACTATTCATTAAAATGATCAATGATCATTAATAAATCAATGATCTATATATGAGGTAATATAAATTAATAAGGAAAGCACTCCCTCCAAAAATGTCAAATGTGAAAAGGACATTAACAGATAATTCAGTACAAGAGTCTTAAAATGTTCATGTATTGAGTACATTGTATTTTTAGAATTTTATCCTGGGGAAAGAGTTGTGATCGCAGCATTATTTAAATAGTGAAAAAAAGTATCTATTCAAAGTAAATAGTTAAGTAGATCATCAATTCATGTAGTAAACTATTATGTCTTCACTTGAAAAGATACTTAGGCAGTGTTTTTAAATGACATAAGAAATGTTTATGACATACATTTAGTAAAAATGTAGTAGAATTATACATTGTATAATTCTGAATACACAAATAGAAGAATACTTTGGAAAAAAGATATGAACATATAGCAAAACGGTAATTGTGAGATTATTTTTCAATTTATTTATTTCTATATTAAAGATTTTCAAAAGTGAGAATACATTATTTTTATAATCAGAGACAAAAATGTACAGGGTTAATTTTTTTGTGATTCCATTGTCCTCAGCTCACCATGATATTGTCTTGTACTTCTGCTCTTATACATGGACCCAGGAGTCCCAAGTGTTGATTTAGTTCTCCACGATATAAGGGCTGAGTGAAAGAGCCATCAGTAAATTCCTGGAAAACCACCTTCTTGAACTGAGGGATATTTCCATTCTGAGCCCTGAAGAAAAACAAAAACAAAAACAGAGGAAAAGTAATATCCTCGTGGGTTAGGTATGTAGAAACACTTCACATTCTTGCTTTCTCTATATGTGAGATACAGTTAGAAGCACTGATTATAAATTGGAAGTGTAAAGAGGAAGGGAGGGGAAAAAGAGGGATTAAAGATAACTTTTAATTTTCTGATTTGGGCAAATGGGTGGATGGTGATGCGATTCGCTGAGATGAAGAACCCTAGTTGAGGACTAGGTTGGGGTTTACAGTTTTGGACAAACAGGACATCTATGTGTATTAAACTGGCAAATATACAGAGAGTGGGAATTCACAAAAGAGGTCTAGATGAAGCTCATCCATATTTAGGTGGTATCCAAATCATGTGAGTGACTTATCAAAGTGAATAGCCAATTTTGTTATGTCCTCATCTTATCTCCATCTAAGAAACATTTGAGTAGTTATTCACTTCATCCTCCTTGACACATTCTTTCTAGGCTTCACTAGTATGTAAGTTCCATCAAATCAGGGGTTTTTCTCTGTTCTGCCCACTGCCATATTCCAAGTACCTGAACCAAGTGCGTGGTATAAGGTAGGTGCTCAAAAAGTCTTGAGTATTGAATGGATGTAGCGTTTATAAACACACTCTAAATATAAGAGAGCTCTAGGGTTCTGTCTTTGGATCTACTTTCTTTACTTAAAAAATTCTGTTAAAATTGTGAACTAAAACTGCAAAAGAAGCTGCATAAAACAAATACTTTTGGTACAAAAATGCAACCATCATCTAGATTAAGAATATTGCCAGCAACCCAGAAGACTCACTCTGTGTACCTTTCCAATCACATTCTTTCCCTTCCCACTAAAGGTAACCACCATTTTAATGTTTATGATAATTATTTCTTTGCTTTTCTTCAAAATTGTACTATTTATGTATACATCCCTAAGAATATAGTTTAGTTTTGCCTGTTTTTGAAGTAAGTGAAACTATATTGTATACATCCTTTGGTTCTGGATTTTTTCATTCAGCATTGTGGTTGTGAGATTCATGTACATTGTGTGTAGCTATAGTTTGTTCATTCCCATTGTGGTATAGTATTCCATTGTGTGAATATACCACAGTCATGGACATTGGAGTTGTTTCTAATTTTTGGTGTTTACTCAAAGTCCTGCCATGAACCTTCTTATAAGTGTATTTTGCTGAACATATATATGCATTTCCACTGGGCACATATCTTGGAGTGAAATAGCTGAGTATGCTATGTTCAGCTTTTTTATAATACCACAGTTTTCCAAAGCTTTTGCACCATTTTCCATTTTTATCAGCAATGTATGAGTTCAATTTGACTCAAATCTTCACAAACACTTGGTATTAACTGTGTTTTTACATTTTGGCCATTCTGGTGGCTGCATAGCATTGTATCTGCTGTTTTATTTTGCATTTCCATGATTAATAATAAAGTTGAGCATCTTTCCTTATGAGTAGTAGCCACAGGATTTCCTCTTTTGTGGAATGTCTATCCAAGCTTGTTTGCAGGGTTTTTGTTTTTTTTTTTTTGCCAATTTTTCTATGGGATAATCTGCTTTTTTTCTTATTGATTTGAAGGAGTACTGCATGTAGTCTTTATTTTATTTTAAAAATTTTTTTACTATGCTATTGCAATTTTCCCAATTTCTCCCCCTTTATCTTCCTTCCGCCTTTCCCCACTAACCCTCCAGCGTTCTCACCTCTTAGCTCATGTCCATGGGTTGTACATATAAGTTCTTTGAGTCCTCTGTTTCCTATACAATTTTTTATTTTTCCCCATCTATTTTATGCCTACTAATTATACTTCTTCCCTGTACCTTTGTCCCCCTATTCCTCCCCTCCCCCTCCCCATTGAAATCCCTCCATGTGATGTCTATTTCTCTAATTCTGTTCCTGTTCTACTTGTTGGCTTAGTTTTTGTTTTCATTGTTTTTCTTTTCTTTTAGATTCATCTATTGATAGTTGTGAGTTTGTTGTCATTTTATTGTTGATATGAGTCTTTTGTTGGCTATTTATGCTGCAAATAACTCCTATTCTGTGACCAATTTTTAAATGCTATTTTCTTATCTTTTGATGAGCATAAGTTCATAATTTTAATGTGGTGATACTTATCAAAAATCCTTCCTGGTCACTGTTCTTTGAATCTTGATGCCAATTCTCTTTATTCCCCAATTCTGATGTTATTAAGATACTTTTTTTCATCTAAGAGACTTTTAGTTTTAAGTTTACATTTAGACTTGTAAACCAATGTGAGTGGATTTTTGTGTTTGATGTGAGTTAGACATCCAACTTAATGTTTTTTCCATGTGGGTATCAAAATTTTCCAGCAACTTTTATTGAAAGCTGCTATTCTATAACATCTTTGCTATAAATCAAGTTTCAATATGTTATACAGCAATTCCTCCCACTTTGTTCTTCTTTTTCAAGAGGGTCTTGGCAATTCTTGGCCCTTTGTGTTTTAAAATCAGCCTATTGAGTTCTATAAGAAAAATGACTTGTTGAGATTTTCATTTGGGTTGTATGGAATCTATAGATGAGTTTGGGGATAATTTACATTTTCAAAATATTGCATTTTTCAGTTCATGTACATGGCACACCTTGGCTTTTAACTCTTCTTTAAAGTTTCTTATTAAATTTTCATTTTTTTTCATAGAGGTCTTGAGAAAATTGGTTATACTTATTTCTAGGTACTTGTGACTATTTTATTCCATTGTAAATGGGATGTGCTGTTAATTTTATTTTCTACCTGTCTGTGGCTATTATATAGATATATAATTATCTTTTGTATATTGATTTTGCATTCCACAAACCTGCTAACCTTCTTAGTTAATTCTAATAATTTACATGTAGATATTTAAATTTTTTTCTATGTATACAATTCATATCATCTGTAACTTAGGACTATTTTGTTTCCTCCTTTCCAACCTTTATACCTTTTATAACTTTTTATTGCTTTAGTGTGTTGGTTAGCACCTGCAGTACAGTACTCAATAGAAGTGATGATAAAGAAGGGTTCCTAACCTCCAAAAGAGAGCTTTCAGTGGATCAGTATTAAATACGATGCTTGGTGTAGATTTTTGTAGATACTGTTTCTCAGAATAAGGGAATTCCTTTCTATTCTAATTTGCTAAAAGTTTTAAAATCATGTGTGGATACTAAATTTTAAGCACTCTTTTCATGAAATGAGAGGGTTATATGTTTTTTCTACTTTATCTTGTTAATATGACAAATTATAATTTTATTTTATTATTATTTTAATATATTTTATTGATTATGCTATTACAGTTGTCTCATTTCCCCCTTCACTCCCCTACCCCTGAATACCCCCTCCAACCCACATTCTCCCCTTGTTCATGTCCATGTGTTATAAGTTCTTTAGCTTCTACATTTCCTATACTATTCTTAACCTCCCCCCGTCTATTTTCTCCCTACCGTCTATGCTACTTATTCTCTGTACCTTTTCCCCCTCTCTCCTCCTCCCACTCCCCTGCTGCTGTCTGTCCATGTGATCTCTATTTTTGTGATTTTGTTCCTGTTCTAGTTGTTTTCTTAGTTTGCTTTTGTTTTAGATGTGGTTGTAATAACTGTGAGTTTGCTGTTTTTTTTTTTACTGTTCATAGTTTTTATCTTCTTCTTCTTAGATAAGTCCCTTTAACATTTCATATAATAAGTGCTTGGTGATGATGAACCTCTTTAACTTGACCATATCTGAGAAGCACTTGATCTGCCCTTCCATTCAAAATGAAAGCTTTGCTGAATAGAGCAATCTTGGATGGAGGTCCTTGCCTTTCATGACCTGGAATACTTCTTTCCAGCCCCTTCTTGCCTGTATGGTCTCTTTTGAGAAATCAGCTGACAGTCTGATGGGAACTCCTTTGTAGGTGACTGTCTCCTTATCTCTTGCTGCTTTTAGAATGCTCTCCTTCATTTTAATCTTGGGTAATGTAATTATGATGTACCTTGGTGTGTTCCTCCTTGGGTCCAACTTATTTGGGACTCTCTGAACTTCCTGGACCTCCTGGAAGTCTATTTCCTTTGCCAAATTGGGGAAGTTTTCCTTTATTATTTGGCCAGATAACTTTTCCACTTGTTTCTCTTCCTCTTCTCCTTCTGGTACCCCTAGAATTCAGATGTTGGAACATTTAAAGATGTCCTGGAGGTTCCTAAGCCTCTCCTCATTTTTTGAATTCTTGTTTCTTCATTTTTTTTTCTGATTGTGTGTTTTTTTCTTCCTTCTGGTCCGCTGCATTGATTTGGGACCCAGTTTTCTTTCCATCACTATTGGTTTCCTGTGCATTTTTCTCCATTTCACTTAGTGTAGTCTTCATTTTTTCATTAATTTGCAACCAAAATCAACCAATTCTGTGAGCATCCTGATCACCAGTGCTTTGAACTGTGCATCTGGCTATCTCTTGGTTGCTTAAAAGTATTGGCTCTGAGGCTTTGATTTGTTCTTCTGTTTGAGCCATTTTTTTGGGGGGGAGGGTCCTGGTTGCTCCTGTTACGTATGAGGGGCGGAGTCTTGGGTGTTCACCCAGGCAGGGTAACCCAGGTAGCTGGGTTGTGACGCTGTGTGTGGGGGCGAGATCAGAGAGGGAACAATGGCGTTTGCTCCGCTCTCTCTGTCAGATTTCAGTCCACTCTGCTGCTTCCCACAAGCTAATTGGGCCCTTCTGGTGCTGGTTTCCAGGTGGGTGGGCTTGTGTACATTCTAGGACCCTGTGGGTCTCTCCAACGAACTGTCTTGTGTGGCTGGGAGTCTCTCCCGGCACCTCAACCTCCACACGTGTTTTCAATCAGTGCTTTTAGGCTTTATTTCCCGGCGCTGGGGCCCTGGGTTGCGTGGTTTGTCTTGCTGCTGTTTTCACCTGGTTTATCTGCACGCGAATGTGTGACTGCGGACAGCCAGTTACCTTGTTCACCTCACTGGGTCTGCTCATTGCCTCCCCACACCCATGCCCAGGGTCTGCCACTGGGGTCTGCTA